CACATTCACACAATTAAGCAAAAACTGTTCAGCATGTCATGTTTCTCTCAACGAGGGCATTTTCCAAGACAGCCTTATTTTGTTTTGGCTTGCTAGTAACTGCTTTTCACTATTCAAATAGGTTAAATTTCACTATATCTAGTAACGATACGTAGGAATCTTTCTTGAGAATCGCATTTCGAATCAAGCGCTGCAAACATGCCTCTTAAATTTATTTTTTTGTTACTCTAGCAAAGTACGTAGTGTTTCTTTGTGTTTTTATGAATGCGGTTTGGCCGTTCCAACCCCATTTCTTCACAAATCACGGTGCATATCCGTCCTTTTTGATTACAGTTCCGCTTTTGATAAAAAAAAATCTCGGAATTTGGAGGAAAGTAAAGGAATGGAAGAGGTTCTGGTTTATAACAGTTTTCAAGTTGTACACAAAACGGTAGCATTCATTCTCTAACCCTCTTCGAGTTTAGGGCTTTCATCACAAGAGAAGCAGATACAAGAATGTGGCAAAAACAGTCAAACTGGTACTTTTCCGTCAATCGGACCCATTTTTTCAAAAGGCTCTAATAATTTACGTTCTTTGGTCTGTAAACAATTTTCACATTATTGCGCTTTCTCCATCCTTACGCACCTATCCTTGCTAGTGTGGCTGCGACTTATTGGTTAGTGCCCTTCATGAGCTAATCACAGTTGCTGAGGCAGCAACAAGCATTGGAGAAAATCTCATTCGTATACTTCAATCCAAGAGGACATGTAGGCATTTTTGCATTCGCTGCACTTTCAAGTGCTCATCGACGCAGTGCGGAGGGTCGGGTATGACGGGCAGATGCTGGCTTCTCGTTTGGCGTTTACTGGATCTGAGAAGTTGGATAAAATACGTAGCAAAAGAAAAAGAATTTACGAGAAGCGCCATCAGATTTAGATACCACAACTTCGAAAAAGTTTTCTGTCTGGTCTTAGCTGAAGTTAAATCTGCCACACTTTTATTAGTCTTTTTGTAATATATATATGAAGTGAATGTGCTTCCTTCAACAGGAACGACGCAACAAAAGCGATCAATGTTTGGTGTGGTCGGAGCAGTCGGTGTCTGAAATGTGTGCCCTCAAGCCAGACGAGCGTATCCGTCGACTTCGTACAACCTTCCTATTCTCTGACCTTCAACCGATTTCCTTATATTCGGTAACACGGCTGCTTAGCTTCTTGACCGAGTTGTTAATTGCTTGTGTTTTCTAGGTGTTTGCTGCCGGCTCCAACAGCGAAGGCTGGTCCAGACGCCTCCTCTCCGGAGTGCGCGGCAGCGACTGCGTCCGAGAGAGTGGCGAACGATGCAATGCATGCTTCAATCGTCTTGCGACAGCGTTACGACGTCTTGACGACGCTTATCGATCTTTCGATCAAGTAAGTAACATCACTTTTCTAATCCTAAGGTATCGTGCTCGTGTAGTTCTTTTCTCACAATTCAATTTTCAGACACTACTTCGTTTTGACTGCATGCCCGCTGTTGATACAGCTAGCGCTACGCGACCGTTCTCGCCAAATGGAAGTTGTACGACATGTCGCGTATGTTTGCATTCATATTTACAATTTCGAAAATGCGGTCTAATAATCTATTTCGCATTCCTAAGTCCCTATCACTGTATACTTCCTAAATAATTATGCTTGATTAGTGGGAAATAATAACGCTTTCAATTCCACATGTAACGTAGCATGATCACTTCTCTATAACTCTGTCTTTCTGATTTCTAGCATAGTAGGACAATTTCTGCCCTTTTCCAGTAAGTATAATGAAGTACATCGCAACAGACAATTCATGGCACTCGACCGTTATTTTCTGGCCCCCTCTATTCAGCTCTATCAAGTTTTCGCTTGAGCTCTTTTGTTCTTTCCCCAGCGGGGGGTATAATCGCCTTGAGGAACTGGAAAACACTATACTCGTATTGAAAATTTCTGGCGCAAATCGCGCAAGTAAGTTGCAAATATAATTTGCCAAAAGCCACATCTGTGATATCCATTGGCTTCGCAAATGTAACGTAGTATCTCGTAATTTCAGCTTCTCACTGTCCTCTTACTCTTTACCAAAGTTTATTGAATAATTATCAGCCACTGTTCAATCGTTCACTTGCGGAAATCTATCTCTATACCACTGTCTGTTTTTGAAGAGTTGCATTTGAAAATGTCAGTGGATCATATTACGATTGTAACTGAGAACAACGCAGGAACGTGAAATCGTTTTAGCCTCTATGTTACATCACTTCTGTGATTCAGATTTTATTCTGTTATACAAGTCAATCTGGTCAATCCTTCCATTTCCCAGCCGTTACTCAATTTTTGTTTGCCATTTCAATCAGTTTCTAATGCTGGGTACTCTCAAAATCGCACACAATCCGGAAGCTTTGAAACAAAAAGCTTTTCGGCCTTGCTGAACGATTAGAAGCTTTTCTATAACACTTTTAATTGTGAGAAATCAAGAACATCTACCAACTGAATTATAAACATGTAGTTTCTGAAATTCCGAAGTTTTATAAAATGTCTTCCTCAGTCTCGCATGATTGTAATGCCTAGCTTTTCAGTCGTGGTATAAGCGATGGCTACTCGTTCAAACAGTTTCTATATGGCGTGAACCACCTTGCGTGAACTGGTGTTATTATGCTCAACTCGCTTGCCCGCACCTTGCCACATCGAAAGTTGTCGATTACGCTGGTCATCCATCGTTCCAGTGCAGAGGTGAGCTTTCGAAAAAAAAAGTTCAGTAGTAGAGCTTACTGCCAAGTTCGCAGTAGATCCGTTTACCTTGATTTACCCACTCATCTCAGCCTCCCTCAGAGGGTTCTGGTGCTCTTCCTTTGCTGACGTGGGCGATTTCAGATCTGGATATTCCGTTACCACAGGAGCCAGAAGCATCCAGGTGTGGATGTGTGCACCCATGCGATCTTCGTGGTATCGTCACTGATGGTGACATGGCGCGCATGGCCATGTCCGGCCACG